AGGCATGAGGAGGACTGGAGTGGGGTGGGCCTGATGTGAATACAGGGTTTAGGAAAACAGACCACATCCTCCCTTGATCCCTGCTCAGGATGAGCCCAGAGGCATGTCCCCAAGCCAAGATCACCAGGCAGTTTAGGAGGTTGCATTGTGGGTCTCCAATACAAATAACTTGTCACATGACCCACTTGTAGTAGGAAAATGGAATCCAAGGACTAAACTCATCCCTTACTGGTGCAGGGACTGGGAAAGGGATGGGCCAGTTCAGTAGGTTAAAGCGTCATAATTTGTGCCCAGTTGCCCAAGTCCCCTACGGGCCTTGTAACCGCTGGAGAATAGCTGTCCCAGCTCTACCACTTAGAATCCGCGCCTGCCTCCAATATGCATGTGACACAGAGGGCTGCAGCAGGAGGCTCCGTGGCTGCTTTGCAGCCCCTGTGGACCAGCATATCACAAGGCAACAGCAATGTGGACCCCTAGACTTGCTAGGCCTGGAATGGGCCCATAGTAGGTCTGACTCCAGGATCAACATTCAGTAGCAGGATTTTCACACTGGCCAAAGAGCTTTAGGACAATTCACAAGCTCCTCCAGTGGGATCCAGTGTGTCTGCAGGATATTTCATACTGGGCAAACCAGAAGGGTTTCCAGCTAGGCACTGTTCAGTATAACTCACCTGCTTCATTTCCTCTCGACAGTGTGTGGGTTTGGGTTAATACTGACCAGCCCACTACCAATTAAGATAATAGCTTACCTGCAAACAAACTTTGTTTTCATAAGCAGTAGTTTATCAAGCATCTTTCTCTGACATTGTTTGGATTCTTTCCAAGGGGTGGTACTTTTCATTTATTCATATTATTTTGTTTGCTTTCTTTTTCTGCTCTATTTTGTGGAGAGTTTTTAAAGGGGTAGGGAGCTGGACCCGGTGGTGGGGTTTGCAGGAAAAACACTTTTAAAAGAAAGATGGTCTCAATTCAAAATCCTAGCTCCTAATTCCCCCCCTCCCCCAAACTTTGGAGTGATTAATTAGAAACCTTGCTCTGAATATTGTAGCCTGCACCCTTCTCTACGTTTTTAGAACACCATGGCCCAGCTGTTTACCAATATTTAAGCATGTTCCAACCAGCAGTGCATGGTCTAAGTGACTTAAGGCCCTAAGCGTCATTTGCAAAACTGGCAATGCCTACATACCTTTGAAAAATCTGGGCCTATTTGTTTCTATTGACCTTAAAAGGAATGTTGATTGCTTAATTTCACTGCCAGGTTAGCTGTCTTATCTCTGGCCTGTGACTTTCTGTAAATATTGCATGCAGTTGACATAGGTATTGTTAGGCTGCATGACTTTTAGCTGTTAAATTTCCTGCTGGGACTAAGGACACTTGCTTTATTCACCCAATTGAATCTTAAAAATGCAAAAACTTTGAGAACAAAACTTCCCTGTGAGCAAACTGTAACGTGCAGAAAGAGGCACTTGTATGCTGCTGGGTGGCGTGTCCACAAAACACCCCCTTTGCTGATGAGGAATGTTGGTCATCTGGGGCCCACTTTTACTTTCGTCAGAAGAAAGGAGACATTTTAACTGACCCCCAGGGCGCCAATGGCAGGACTCCCACTGGCCAAATTTTTGCAAAAGTGGTCATGGATTGTGAGTGCCCAACTGTGCCTGATTTTCAGAGGTGAAGCCAATAGGACATGCAGCAGCTCGGTCCCTTTGAAAATCAGGACCAATGTATTAAAGGAGAAAATGTTCAAAAGGGGCCATCCAATTTAATTCCTTTTTGACAGGAATAGCCTGGGCAAAGCAAACCAAGCATATGGTAAAATGAGATGAGATACTCTTGCTATCCATATCTTTTTAGTTCTTCTAGTTCAATACTTTTAATAAATTCATTATTTACATGTATAGACTGAGGAGTAAACTCATACAAGAAAGTATGATTGGCGGAGCAGAGGTTGGTGATGGAAGGCTAGCTAAAAAAGCAAGTCTGTAGCAGAGCCTGGGTGGCAGAACAAACAGACTCAGATGAACTTTTAGGGGGGCAGGGCTGTGGACCAGGGCTGCCTGTGGGGGGGCAAGTGGGGCAATTTGCCCCAGGCCCCACAGGGGCCCCCACTAGAATATAGTATTGCAACTTTTTTTATGGAAGGGGCCCCCGAAATTGCTTTACCCCGGGCCCCCTTAACCCTCTGGGCAGCCCTGCTGTGGACAAAAAGGTTGCAGAGAAAAGCGGAGTTGTTTGTGGGAGGAGAGTACCATAGGAGCAAAAATGTCTGCAGCCTTCACAGAACAAAGCATCTGTGGGTGGCTGAAAAGACACAGGAAATGATATGCACATTGAAGACAAGGATGTGGTATCTGGTATAGAAGGGCATGTAGGCCTCATTCCAGCCATCTTCTACTCTAGGAACTCTTTAACGTTGCATTTCTGGCACTAATAAGGTCACTCATCAGTTACTGGGGGAGATGCTATTTTCCCTCCAAGGAATGTGGCTGCCTAAGGCTATGGGAAGAGTTGCTCAGGCTTACAAGTGTTCACATTAGAGCAGCGGAAGATCCCAGGAAGCCTAAAGGGATCAGTATGACAGGTACAGCTTATGACTTTCAGCTCTGAGAGGAAATGTGTATTAGCCTCAGGGGCTTGAAGAGTAGTCTGACACCTGTTTACCATGCTCTCCCTGCACCACACGTCTTGGGGGAGGGGAGGATGGCAAGAGAAAGCCAGAAGCAGAGTAAATTTATTAAATACCCCTTTTACATCTGGGAGGTGGAGTCTCAAATTCCCATAACTTGAACAAGTAACAGGGCCTCATCGTGACAGAAGGATTTTTTTTATGTAATAAAGTTGAAATATCCATTGATGGCATCAGCTTGTCTGAGCTTGTAAATCTGAAGCAATTTTTTTTTTATTGCTACTACAACCATTTCTGTTCAATTCTTTTACAGAGAGTTCCAGCATTCTGTAACAAAAGCCAGACGACAGCAATTGGAAGAGCTTACAATAATAGAGGCAAGCCCCAGGAACATACAGACACAGGCTAGATACTGCGAAATATCAGAGCGATCCCTTCAGGGAAAGAGAACAAACAAACTCAAGGCTGACAAGGGGAGAAAAATCTTCCCCCAGTGACATCATTAAAATGTAGAATAGTCTTCCAAGGAATTGGTTGGCACTAATGAGTTATAGAGGAGTGGAAGGGAACTCCTGGGTTAAAGTCCAGCTCCCTGCTATTGCAGGCAACCTCCTCAGACTGTCCAGGCTGGTCCTCCTAAATAAAAATGTACAGAGTAGTGTTCAATCCTGAATTGGGAAGGGGAGCAGGCAGGGCCCACCAGCATTTTAAGGGTCTCATCTCTATGCCACAGTACCTGGATCTTGCTGTTCTAATAATGTGGGCTATGCATAGCTGCTGTCATGGCTCAAAAGTTGTCTAAGGTTCTGATCTCCAGATTAAAAAGTTTCTGGGCTCCTGGACTGAGCGCAGAATTTAATCGGAGTTAAAATGGTGATGCACTCTATAACCAGAGAATTATAGTTTAGTTGTGTAGAATAAGTGACGAGTAACTGAAGAAGAGCTGGGGGTGGGGGAAGAAATCTATTTGCAGCTGCCTTTTTGTTGAAATTTCACCTCCACTTTCTAGAAGCAGGAAACTTAAAGGAGGTGTGGCAGAGCATCCTGCCACTGGCCAGCCACCTCACAGGAGAATGTGGGTTCTGACTGGTCCCTACCTGAGCTCCGGTCAGTACCTAGAGTCAGTTTGGAGGGGCAGGCGTTGCTCTTGGCTCAGCTGTGACATTGTGTAACGCATGTTTCTCTCTCCAGCACAAAGGTCATCTGAGTGTAACACAAACACACGGTTCTGATCGTACAAAGGTGCGTGCTGTAGAGCGGAGATCAGAAAGTCCTAAACTGTAGTTGTCATGCTCACCAGCTCAGGCCTCCCAGGATTTTCTGTAGCGCTGATGCGATCACCCAGAAGCATGAGCAACTCTCCCTCTAACCTCAGGCAGCTACATCCACTGAAGGGAAAATATTGTCTTCCATAGTAACTGATGTATAGCCATATGGGACATTGCTGGCAGGATGCTATGTGCCCAATGATTAATTAAAGGGTTGACTCTGTTGCTCCTGGATACATGCATCATTGCAAGTTTTGCCAAGTCGGGGCAAGGCGTCATTGCTCGAGAATAGATCCAATTAACCTATACAATTTTAAAAGTGTATTGTATGCGATGAACTTGGAGAGGAGGCCAAGCCCATAGCAGAGAAAGATTTAGCCGAAGTGGTAGCTACCACTTCTCTAGAGTCTAATGTGCTAGAATAACTAACTTACCCTATCAAGGTCAGTTCAGAAGTTGACTCAAGTTTTGCTCTGGCTACCATCCAACACAACCCTGCTTACTTTAGTGGGTTACACTTCGTATCACAGCAAGACCAGTAACTGCTGTCATATTATAGAAATGGAAGTAAATACCACATTAAAATAGTGCAACTTTTCAGGTTCTGCCACTCAAGTGCAGAGGGAACAGTTTCCTTATTGGTTTACTGCTCCAGGTTGAGATGATATTTAAGAATAAAACTTGTTCTTCCCATCCTCCAACACCTTACTGTTGAAACATACTGTCTTTTAAAGAGGAAATCCACAATATACAGTCATTTGGCCATTTAAAATAGTTTATTACCAAAATAAAAAACCTCTAAGATAAAAGGTGCATAACATAAAAGCTGACAACAAGGCATCAGCAGTAGTTTGCTCATACAACTGGATATAATAAACCAGATGTCAGATAAAAGTTCATGAAAGCAACCAACAACAACAACAAAAATCAACTTCTGCTCATCTGTATTTTTCCTCATATTGGGCAGCAGTTCTGAATCGGATACCTATACAAGTTCTATTGCCAGTCATCTCTCAGGCAGACCCACATCAGGGACACTTACTCCTCACTGCTATCCAGGCTAAAATATCCAGGTCCTGTTCACACTGGCAGTTGCATCTCTCCCATTGGCTTCAGGAGGTACGTGCATGTGCCCAATGTGATGATCAGGTCCCAGAAAGCTTTGAATAAATGTTTTATATTAATAAAAAAAACTACACACACACACCTGAGCCAAATCCTGCCATCCGGTCTTTCCCAGATTGGCTCCCCGCACCCCACCCAGCCACCACATGCCAGGAGTTCATGGTTTCCAAACAGTGAACATTTAGGGGAGCAAATGCAATAAGACATTTAGGGGAATGTTCCCATCCATATACTTATTCCCATTACATATAAATAATTATATACACTATATACATGTGATGTCTATTTAGCATGAAGCTTTGAATAATTCTAATGGCAGTATTAATTCAGGCCTGCCCTCCTGAGGCCCTGGAGGGGTAGAAATCAAACTGTGAAGATGCTCATTTTCATACTGTCAGTTCAGAGTGTGCAGAATTAATCTAAGTGTGCCTAGAACCCTGTTACAAGACTTTGCTGTATTCACCCACAGTTTGTCCCATTTTGCTTAAGAGGAAGGACAGAAGTTCCTGTATTCATAGCATAAAAACATAAGTGAATTTGCACAAAGTGTTCAATTGTTTATTCCTTCAGTAGGCCAAGTTTTTTCAGAGCCTCCCGCCGGTTTTCATCTGTAGCTCCTTTAGGGGTGATTTTTACGCTGACACAAGTAGGCCGGGGAAACTTCAGCAACGGGTAAGATTTGCGCTTGTCACTTTTCCCTGGCTCCTCGTTATCAGTTTTGGATGCTTTGAGTTCGATAAAGTCTTCCCTTGTGCCGAGGGAAGCTGGGCGTGTTCGGTTATTCCTGATAACACTGGGAGCCGCCATCTTAAGGACTGATGTTTTGCCAAGTGAGCTGCTGTCCGTGTTCTGGTCCTTGCTGCTCAGACCTATGCCTGAACGCTCCAAGGTGTTGGATTTGATTGTCTGTCTCAAGCCAGGAGCAGCGCTCTCTGCTGGATTTAAACCTGGAGCATGTTGTTGGTCAGATTTCCCATTCACAGGAACATCAGTTCCATCATCACTGTTTAAGTTATCCCTACTACCAGCCCTAGGAATGAGGACAGGGTTTGGTTTGGGAGCAGTAGGAGGTCTGACAACATGGACTTTAGATTCCCTTCCTTTATCATGTAGGAGTCCCAACTTCTCCAACGCCTCCCACCTGGCCCTTTCCTGCTTTTCCACAGAAGAGTCACTGGTGTTGGATTTGTGCTTGGGTGAAGATGGAGAAGGCACTTTTCTATTGTGATGGGGGTCTACGAGTGGTGCTGGGCTGATTTTGCTAGGTTTCAGGATAATATTTGGTGGCAGTTTTCTTGGCTTTGGGGCTGTGGGAGGCCCTGGCTTGATGTTTGAATCCAGAGAAGCTTCTTTTGAGGGTGATTTCTCTTGGTTGCCTTGAAGATCAGGGGCTCCCTCTCTTCCCTGCTCACGATGTTTCTTTTCCTCTTTCAGTGGCAGCCTTGCATTCTCTGGGGCAGAATGCTGTGATGCAACTTCAGGTTCATTCCCCATTGCTTCCTCAGCTTTTCCCTTTGCCTCCAAATTATTAGGTAGTAGCACATCTTCACGGCCATTGCCAGACCCCTTGCTTCTGGAATCCTGGAAGGGTTCAGGGGGGCAGATAATTACAGACTCCAAGTCTGATGGCTTCATCTGAGTACTCATGCTGGGCTGGTGATTTGACTTGTCCTCAACCCCCCTTTTCTTGGGCATCTTCCATGAAGACTTCCCTGGTTCTTGAGCTGTTGGAGTTGAACCATCAGGGACGTCAGCTGCTTTGCTGACAGAAACCTTGGGGGTTGTTTGTGCATTTCCTGCATTGACACTCCTTGGAAGGCTGCGGTAGCCTGAGCTTGTAACCCCCACTGGAGCAGAGCTTGAGAGAAGAGATCCATGTTTATCACCCTTTTGTTCTACTTCATGTCGCGGACCAAAACTTTCAGTGGGAGACCTACTGTCCAAATCTAGACCAAAAAATAAGTGTTAAGTGTGCAGCTATATGCAGAGCAGTGTATCAAGACCACCCACTAGTTACATACAGAGCTAACCTTTTTAATAGGGCTGCCAATGGAACAGAGCCAAGACACCCAACTTAAAAGACTTACTAGGGGCATGTTAGCGGTAGGGAGGCTAATATTTTCTTATTGCAAAGATAGTAAGTTTGCAGTTAGTGACACACACATTGCCTGATGAGTCCTAGAGATTAACATTCAATATTTTCCAGTGTCAACAGCATATAGATATTTTGTCCTACAGTTTTGCAGACTACCTGTTTACCAGGACAACCAGCAGGCTCTTCTCCAAGGGTAACCTACACTAGGTGCATTGGAGAGACACAATCCTTTAGTCCCTTCTCCCCACCCCAGCACAGATTTTTCTAGTCAATTGTGCACTACCAGGTGTTTATTGTATGAGGGAAGCTGGGACAACGTTCTGTCCCCCCTACTAAGATTTCCTGCATCACAGGGCTTTCAGTCCTGGCCACAGTCCAGGCCCTGAGTTCTCTGGGGTTCAGAATGCAAGTTTTAACCTTACTTTTTGGAACAACATCTCTCTTCGGCCATGTTCTGGGGAGCTTAGAACGTTCAGCATAATCGATCTCATCAGCAGAAACCCCACTGTCTGCTTCCGTATCCAGAGAATCAATAGTTTCTTCTAGGAACATCAAACATTCCTTTTCCTCCACAGATAAGTAGTCATAGCTGTTATCACTCTAAACAAACAAACAAACAAACAAACAAACAAACCACAAATGGGGAAATTAGGCATAATGCTACTTACAATAGTATTTATAGTTTAAATGAAGCCAAGGACAGCTCTCTCCCGCAGGATCTAACTGTTGAATACCCAGAAACTGCCAGTCTGCCTAGTGACAACCACTCACCACCAGAAGCACTACTTAAGCAACCTCATTTGGCAATATAATCAAAACAGCCTCTGAGGATTTGGCATTCCCAATCAAGCAATTAGAATCATGCCCCCGGCAGCAGCCACTAACTTTCCTTTGAAGCATCAGTAATCCCGTAACACATTTGGCTGGCTAGTTGTACTCTGGACAGGCCACATTTGTATGGATCAGCCATATTGAGTTTTGGAAACTTGTCTAAGCATCCAGAAATTCAGAGGATTTATGAGTATGATGGCTTCACTCCATGCTCTGTAACCCCCCCTCCCACCCACTTTTAAACAAGCATGATAGGATCCGGCTCAGTTATCACTGGACTGTAAGCAACTCTTCTTCTGTGTCACATCAAGCCTTAGTGTCCGGGCCAAGGTAAGATGCTATTCGACTCTGTAACGCATCGTTAGAGGCCTATAAAATTGAAGGCATGGAAGGGGGAAAACTGCATTAGGCATGACACACAAATCTCCATCTTGGAAAAAACTCCCTTATTTTAGAAAAAGGCATCAAGCTGGATCTGGTATCATACAGCAACTAGTTTGCCCATCCCTATTAGTTATAAACAGGTCTATTTCTGGTGTGCAATAGCATAGAGGGTCTGTTCAGTGCAGAATTGCAGTGACTTCATTGCAATATGCTCCAAGTCCAAGAGGAGTAATTAGTCTCCCGAATCCTGGAATGTGTTTAATACAAACTAGCCCTAATGGATGGGTGCAAATGATTTTCACTGTCTAATGGGCCAAATTCATCACTGGTTTCATTACTGACTTAGTTGGAATTAAATCAAAGTGGAGTGTGGTTTAATACACGTCTCCTTTAGATTAACTTGGTGTCAATTTGTTATAGTTAGTCACACTTTGGTCCCTCTCAGGAGATCTAGCCAGCTAGACTCCTCCTACCCAATGAACTGAGTGTGTGGGCCCTGCCGCCTGACACAACCCAGTCTGGATTCAAGGCTCTAGCAATTCAGAAGAGGCAAAATTATAGTCCCCACTGGCCAAGCCATTCTGAGCTACACGAAGCTCAGCACATCGGCAAACACAGACACAGCCAACCTGCGCATCAGTTGGGAGCAGGTGATCGGCTTGTTTTGTAAACATAAGTTTGCCACTGATAGATCTCTCACTACACTCTCCCATTGTACTACCATCTGAGCTCCATAATGTATAGATCTTGAGCAATACCACCGCAGTTCAACTGCCAAGTGTTAAGATTGCTTTGGAGCCAGAGAAGGAGTTTGGCATCACAATTCAGCTGTACTGATTCATGCCTATGGTGATGAGTCTTTTATAGGACTGTGCTTCACTCCCTTTGCTTAGGCTAAGAGATCGCCTGTGTTTGTGCTGCACAATGGTTTGATTGCTGGATTATACAAGAGAGAGAATGAAAAAACTATGAAGAGTCAGGTGGCACCTTAGACTAAGATTTATTTGGGCATAAACTTTTGTGCATAAAAAACCCACTTCAGATGCATGGAGTGAAAAAACTGAACTCTTTGGGGGCAGGAACCATCCTTTTGTTCCATGTTTATACAGTAACTAATACAATGGGGTCCTGATCCATCACAGGGGCTTCTTCATGCTACTCCAGTACAAATATGTATTTAAAAAAAATAAATAGAACAGAGCACTTTCTGCCTACCTAGAATCCCTCCTTCAGAACTTACAGGGCCACTCTGCTGCTAGCCATGGAAAATAAAGGTTACTTTAAAATGTTTACTTACAAATTCAGAGTGGCTTGAGTTAGTGCTGACCATGCTGTCACAACTGCCAGAATCTTGACCAGCTGTCCCTAGCCACAAATCCTCTTTCGGCATATCACAAATCACTGCGGCAAGAACTTCCAGGAGCAGGTGTAGAGTAGTTCCAACTCAAGCTGCAGAAAGAGCATGATGTGTTAAGTGTTGCATTAGTTCTGCCCAGAACTCGCTTGCACCAATTCAGACGCATCAGCAATATTAGCATTCAACTCTAAGGAAGCAATGAGGACTTCAGATCTGTTTGATTTGGCCAGCCTTCTATTCTGAAAGACTGTTCACAAGTTAGTGACTTTAAAAAAATAAAAAATAAAAATAGAAGTCACCTGGAAGACTCTAGGGCTCAATAGATGTGTAGTAGGGTAAATGCCACCATTAGGCCACCAATTCAAATCAAGCCCATCTCTATCCACTGACAGTCTAGGGGTCTCTGCAACATGGGTAAGGTAGTGATTAACGGGCAAGAGAAAAGAAAGCCAGAGAGCAAAAGCAATGCCATGGTTAGTTCTCCGCTCAGCTCAGTCCACGTGCTGCGATGGGATGAAGCAATTTCTGAAATTGTGCTGACCACTTTGTCCTTGTCACCACTTGCTGTTTGAACATTTTTTAGTGCTGGTTCAACTGCGTCCATTGGCAGAAGAGGGTAAAATTCGTAGCATAGACAAGACTGAAAAAAAACATAGCCAAGGTATTTTGGAGAGTTTAACAGGTGAGGCTAAATCTTACCAGCCTGCTAACTGAACTAGCTAGCACGTTGCTTTGCCATGAGCTTCCTCTTTGCAAGGTGCTAGTTTTCTTCCACCCCACACCTCTAAATGATGCAAGTTTGTCAGCTGCCACAGGGAGAGGTGCTTGTTTACCTAAGTCATGCGTTTGGGTGGGTGTGTTCATGGCATAGCCTGTGTGAAGAAGAGCACCTCACAGAGGTTCCTTGTTCTCACTGGAGAAAGACACATGCCAGTAATGCCAAGAGGAAAGGGTTTTGCTTCAGACAGCGCTAGATTGCTAAGGGTCTCTGTGAAACTGGATTAGGAGGCCCAGATAAACTGTAGTAACTCATTTAATGGGACTGTGGGTGTAGTGAGAGCTTTGATTGGGGAAAAAAAATTATGGAAGTTGGAATTCAGAGACATATGCAGATGTACTTTTTCCCTTGAATCAGTGAAATTCCATTTACTTACAAAACATTGAACTCCTCTTTCATCCTAGGATTTAAAGTACTGTGCAGAGTGGGAGTAAATTATCCCCATTTTCCCACATAAAGGATCAGAGGCTAAGCAACTTGCCCAAGTCCCACAGCAAGGCAGTAGCAGAGCTGAGCATGGAACACTGGTTTCTCTCCCTACTCTAGCCACTAGACCATGCTGCCTTGTGACCACACTGTCACAAACTCCATAATTAAATCTGTGACCAGCCCTGCATCATAAAACTAATTGCCAACCCCACCCTCTACACATTCTAAAAGTCATCCAGCCACTGATCAATATTGTTTCTTCCCATCATGGGCAACTGGTCTTGAGACTAAAATCAGATCTCTAACCCACATTTGTTAGGACCATGACAGTCAATGTGGTACTAATATTGCCTATTTTGTGATTTATTGTATGACAAGCCCTCTAAGTCCAACATACCAAAATGACCACTGCAGAGACATTGTCACGGGTAATAGAAATAGCTAGGAAATTATAACTGATGGATGCACAGCCCATATGCAATGGCTGCTTTTCTAGAGGTCACTTCTTCCCCTGATACCAGCAGGTATTTGAATGTTTCTAGGCTAATAGATTTAAGATAGAGGCTAAACCCAAGTGTATTGTTATCAGTAATTGGCTCCCAAGAGACTTCCAGCTCCTTACACCTGGTGGCAAGTTCAGACGAGTGGGTTGTTTTAAACAAGTTTGTATGTACAGTATCCAGTGACAACGCTTTATGGAGGCAGAGAAAACACTAAGTATTTCAGCAAAAGTGAAGATATGAAATTTGAAATGGAGGTCAAATGTTGACTGAGAATGAGAGGGCCTTTCATAGGCTTAACACTAGAATGCATTGCTAAAGATTTAGGGGGTGTGAAACTCAGGTTAAAAAAAAGGCTAAAAGTTTAGCTTATAAAAAGTGTAGTTATTTATAGCCATAAAATCTGAGACATTAAATATTAACATTCTGAAACACAGCTCAGTGATATTGCATATTTAAAAGAGAGTGATACATATTTTCCAGATGCATGCTGCCTGTTCTTCAGAGAGGGGAAAAGGGCAGGGCCACAAATACTTAATCCACTAAAAACCAGAGCCGGTATTACCCATCAGAAGGAAAGGCAAAGCAATTCTTTGTAGTGTAACCTGGTGTGGCCTTCAGCAATGTGGCAGCTGGCTTTTTTTAAAAACAGCATCAGGAAGCCACATCTAGTAATACAGGATTAGTCAGACTGAGACTGCTGTATGCATTGAGAGATCATATCTCCTATGGTGTGTATTGGACTTTACTCTCTATATCTTTATTCAGGAAACACTAAAAAACTCTCAATTTAATGTTTGATAAAGTATTCTTTTAAATAAAACACCACCCTTTGGTCTAGGACAGCAGGTCGTTTTTACAGCCAGCTGTCCAACAGTTTGGCAGTATGAGGACAAGGTTGAGTGTAAGGGACCCTAGGACATTATGGGATCTATGACTTAGTAATGCTAACAATGCAAGAAGCCACATGCTAACATTAGTTTGAATGAGACCCACAAGTTTGCTTCAGTGGTACTTGTAACCTCTTCATTAGTTCCCCACCCATAAACATTTAGGAGTGAATTGGTGTTTGTGGGAAGTCAAAGTCTTACACCGACTTGTGTGATGGCTGAAACCTGAAGTGGCTAGTTCAAGCCAGCTTCCTGTTTACAAGTATTTGTCATCCACACAACAGAAACAATGCCCTGTGACCAGTTACACATCACAAACAACAAAATACAGGCTCTCCAAACTTGAGCACAAGAGCTTTAGGTTCTATATAAAGAGGTATAAGTCACTCTTTGTGAAGAGACCTAAATTCATCTAATTATTAGGAACAAAAAGTTCACCTGGATCTGTATCACAGCCACAAATGTGGCATTTACAAAAATATACAACTAACCACCATACAGAGTTGCATGATTACCACACATGGTCTCATTTGTTCTTTAGGGCAAAGCTGGGGAAGAAAAGCATTCTGGACTAGCAAGACACACACACATGCTTACGGGGTAGATCAAAGGTGCCAAAAATGGAAAGAACAATAATTTGAGTTTACCTTCTAGGTTCTCTCCCCCCTCCCGCCCCCATGATCTTACATTATGAACTTCAGCTCACTATAGCTGGTCAAAAAGTGACAAGAAAAATTGAGACATGTTTTTCCCCTTTTGCAAGGTTAAAAATAGTTAGCAAAAACTTTCCCATTTACACCCCCCCACAAAAAAGGGCCAGCAAACTACATTTCAGTAACCATTTTGATTTTTAAAAACTATGAGAAACTAAATTTCAACAATACCCAGCTTCTCTACTTTTTTTTTGTTTGAGAAAAAAAGCCATTTTCCCAACAAGAATCAAGTTTAACCATAAAAACCCAAATAAATAAATGCAGTTAGCTGTATTGCTATGACTACCCTTCACAGCTTTGACCCGCAATCAGCAATGGGCTAGGCAACACTTAATTCTGTATATCAAGGCAGTTTTTAATGCAGCTACTAACACAAGTATTAGTGACACAACTATTTGAGCAACACATTCATGAAGCTTTTTTTGGCTAGGGCAGAGCAAGTACACAAAACATGCACTTTACACACAGGTGCAAAGGGCACGATCCTGTTCAACAGACCACTTCCACAGGCACAAAAAAGTTTAACTAAAAATCTTGGCAGCTAAAGTTGCAACTCCTTTTAGTTCTACAACAACAGGATCAGAGGTATTAAGGCTCAAGCTGAAAGGAGATGGGAGCTACTGTCACACCAGTTCCTCTTGGTTACATAAATAGATCTAATTGATAAAAGTTTTTCTTGTTTGCTTCTAACTACCATGGGAAACTGTATTAAGAACACCAGGTGCTTCTAAATTAGAAGAAATTAAAGACTCCCCTCACCCCCCAAACTACTGATCATAAAACCATTTTAATTTTTAGGGTCTAGAAGCTAAAAACCCAGAGTAAAATCTTGGGATTTACATTCCACCCTTGTGAGTTTTATCTCCCACTCTCACCAGCCTTCTTCCTAGAAACCAGACAAAATAAACTATTACTTGTCACTCATTAGAAGCTTTAAACTTCTGTCACCAAAGCTGGTTCAGAGGAACCTTTCCCCAGCACTAATAATGAAGCAGTGAGAAATCTAGACAGCTTTACCAGAAATTCTACCCCCAAGGGATTTCACCTGGTCGGCAGCCCCTGCAGAGCAGGCAGATTGCAGCAGCAGATATTGTAATGGCAGGGAAGAAATCAGAGTAAGGCTCTTTCCCAAACTCCTATTCCACCCCACTCCTCTGCAACTGTCCCGGAATCTCTCCACTTTATGTTAAACAAATACAGCTCAGTTAGAGATTAACTCACCTTAACTAGGGGAGAGAGAGAGAGAAGGATCAAAAGTCTCTGTTTCTCTAAGCAAGGAACTGAAACCCCAAACAAACCCCTCCTATTCTGTTATGCTTATGACCTATCACTGACTTACCTGGACAGGTATGCCTCACCCACCCTGCTGTTGACTGCCACCCAATCACAAATCCTCCTCCCAACTTCTCATTCCAGCTGTTCTCAAAAGTAAGGAGAGAGGGAGGGGCTTGACGTGGGGGTGGGATGGAAGTCTTCTTCACCAATCAAAGCTCTCGGCCTCACACCATGACAGCCAATGAGATCAGAGGGTGGGGTATACTTTGTGGCAGCTGGAGAGGGGCTGAGTGCAGCAAAAAGGGCTCTAGTAGTCCGTTGAGGGAAGGGGGGAGGCTAAACAGACAGGTGAACAAATGTAAGTTAAACTAATTTCTCAACTGTGATGAGAAGCTTCTTCGCTGCTCCTAAGTGGGGCCATTTTCTCTCCCTTTTCCTTTGTCAATGGCAAGCCTTAGTGTAACTGAGGTGTGCAGACTGGCTAACTCAGGATGCTTTAGTCCTCTGTCCACAGAACAGGTACAGGTAGGGCAAGCTCCCCATCTCCCAATGCCAACAAAATGCCTCTTGCTTGGACCTAAGGAGGTCAGTTGCAGGGTGATGTAATCCTTTCAGAATGCTGATACTTTGCATGCCTAGAGCAACTTTCATCTGAGGGAAAGTCCTTTATGAACATTCCCTAATTATGCCTGGGAGAAAGGTACTAGCATCACTCTTATCGCTGGAGAAACTGAGGCAAAGTGACTCTGTGGTAGAGCTAGGAAAAGAACTCCGAAGTCCTGACTCCTTGTCTTTTTGCCCCTTGTCTTTTGTCAATAGACCCATTGCCTTCCAACTTTTGCTGAGACTGAACAGGCATGCCAGTTGCTATGGTGTTTCTTATTGTAAGATCACCTGTCCTCTCTCAACTAGATGGAGACAACCAAGTCACTTCTTACAGGTCACTGAGCAGCCCTTTCATTTCTGCTGCCCCCCCTCCCCGCATCCCTCTAACTTCCTGCCTCTGTCTTAAACATTTTAAATAGGTCTCACAGGAGACACCTTAATCTGGCATCCTGTTCTTCTGCATAGTTAGTGACGTTTGGAGGAGTCAAACTCGTAGCCTTGACCAAAATGTGTGTGTACATAATAATTAGCTCTCTAATAGTGTCTAGTGGTATGTGGCAGTGAATATATTAGTTCTCAGCAAGTTTATTCTCTTATGTGGTTAAGTAGCTTAGATTTTACAGCTCACTGCAGAAGAGCTTTAATAGGATGGTTTATTTTTCTCAGCTATAAAAGTGTGCATTGCTAGTGAAACAAGCTTGTCTATGTATCACTAAAGAGAATGAGGTGGGATTTGATAGCTGCTTTCAACTACCTGAAGGGGGGGAGCCAAAGAGGATGGAGATCAGCTGTTCTCAGTGATAACAGATGACAGAACAAGGAGTAATGGTCTCAAGTTGCAGTGGGGGAGGTTTAGGCTGGATATTAGGGAAAACTTTTTCACTGGGAGTGTGGTGAAGCACTGGAATGGGTTACCTAGGGAGGTGGTGGAATCTCCTTCTGTAGAGGTTTTTAAGGTCAGTCTTGACAAAGCCTTGGCTGGGATGATTTAGTTGGGGATTGATCCTGCTTTGAGCAGGGGATTGGATTAGATGACCACTTGAGGTCCCTTCCAACCCTGATATTCTATGAAAGGCTTCCCAGACTGGACCACCCCTACAGATATCCCAGTCATCTGCATCTCCATTAACAGTCTTTGTAGCAAACCTAGCACCCACAGCAACGAGTTCATGCAATATGCATTCCTGCTCCCTGACTGTTTTGTGAACCTCGACACCAATCAAGCAGGGGAAACTTTCCCTCAGCCATATAAGCAACTGATTGCTCTTAGACAATAGCACCTTTCTCTCAAGCTATTGTAACAGCTGCTTTCAGCTGCTGCTGGAGTCAAGCAACTCAGGCTGGTAATGCCACTGAAATCAGTGACTTTAATTTGACCTTGTGTATCGACTCTGCCGTGTGCCTTCAACTCCCAGTGACTGCAGCAGGAACAGGATTAGTCTGAGGGTCTGATTCTGCCAACTCTTGCTCGTGTGAGTAGCCCTGACCTCAGTGGTGTCATTGCTGTGAGTAACAGCTACTCACGTGCATAAGGGCTTGCAGACGCAAGTCTAAGTGCAAGCCATTCATTGACAAAACTCCCGAGTGTAACTTGCAACAGTTACGTCAAGGGGGACCTTGGCCCAGTGGGAATTCACAGGCAGAGCACATGCAGGATTGAGGTGCAGTGTTAGCCCTGGCACAGTGCATACCGAGAGTTACTGTGTTTTATTTTGCAGGAGAGGAAGGAGAGTAAGTGTGAGCGAACACATCTTCCATCATGATGCTGCCGTTTGCATTAGCGTTTTCAAAAAAAAAAAAAAAAAAAAAAAAAAAACTATTTGCAAATGCCATTAAAGCACTCTCGCAGCACTCACAGATGGTGATGAGCACGGAAATATTTTTCCTAACAAGGAAGGTTTGAATGTTGAGTCGTGGGTCTTGTGCGAAGCTCAATCCTCCTGACTCCCTCTGCCCATCAGGGGCAACTCCAGGCACCAGCGCAGCAAGCGCTTGCCTGGGGCAGCAAGCCGCAGGGGGCAGCCTGCCGGTCACTGTGAGGGTGGCAGTCAGGCGGCCTTCGGTGGCATGCCTGCGGGAGGTCTGCCGGTCCTGCGGTTTCGACGGCAATTTGGTGGCGGGTACACCGAAGCCCCAGGACCGGAAGATCATCCGCAGAAATGCCGCCGAATCCGCGTGACCACCGAAGGCCGCCTGATTGCCGTGCTTGGGGCGGCAAAAAACATAGAGCCGCCCATTATACTTTCTATACTTCCCAGGTTTCACTTCCTCTCCTGCCCAAACGCCTTCCACTTCTCATTCAAAGCCACTTGTCATCTGAAGTGAAAAGGCATCTCCTTTGGTAGCATCTTCACCTCTGTGAACAAGCATGTCACCTCTGCAGTCTGTCTCCATTAGGCAGATACAGAGTCCAGATATTTTCGGATCGAGGCATCCCTTGAATCACTCAGCTGACTCTGTGCTGTGCAGTAGGAGCTGTTAAAAGAATAAGAAATGATTTGTCCTTTTCTGCTTCCCTGACTTTAGGATCTCAGGCTATTAAAGTTACAGCCCTTCTGGTTAGCTAGCAGTGTGAGGCTTATTTCTGCTGCTCACATCTGCTCCATGAGGTTTGCCACGTCCAGCCACCAAAAAAATCCAAGAATAACCCCAGCAGCAAACTCCCATCACTCAAATCCACTGGCTGACAGGCTCACTCAAGGGTACAAGCTTCAGTTCTCAAATAAAGGAGCTGCTCCTATTCCAACATGTATTCCCTTAGCACTACCCTGAATAGGTGGAAATGTTATTTAGCCATTCAGAACCATGTAGAAAAAACTAAGTCAAAGGGGCACAGAGATTCACCTTTCAGCATTTCCAGGTCATCCTCCAATCAAATGGGAGCGAGTATGGGGGTCAGAGAGCAAGGAAGGGGAGCAGTCTCCTAAAGCCATGGATCCAAAGAGAAGGGACACCCCTCCACACGAACACAATGGATATAGCTTGCTGCCACGTGGCTGAGATCCCAGGGACAGTTGCAGAGAGTTACCTGCAGGAATTAATGTAATTTCAGCATTAAAACCAGGTGAGAGATCCATGCGGTTATCCCTGGGAAGAGAATCCAGTTGGATGTCAGAGTTGCTGGTCCTCAGTTTTACCCCTAAAACACCACTAGCCTGTATAATTGAGTGGATTTGACATTTATGTTCCTTCCCTGGTATATAATTGGCATTTTATGCATCCATGTTCTATAAAGATGATCCACAGAGGAAAGAGTTGTATTGTTGGTTGTATGTAAGAAACCTAAGATTTCACCCATCTACTTACCAATTGCTCAGTTCATAAACATGGTCTTGAAAATTAATATAATTTTAAAAGTATGGGGTGGGATTTTGAAAAATACTCCAGCATTGACCTAACACTGCTCCTATTGAAATACTGTAAATGGTAAAACTCCCATTGCCTTCATTGGGAGCAGAATTAAGCCAACACTGAGTGCTTTTGAAAATGTTTATACATTTTACCATTTCTCTCTTCCCCTAAAACTAAGGGCAATATGTCTCTGTTCAAAATGTCCTGAGCTGCTTATTTTATTTTGCTGTAAACAGTATCTTGCCTCATCTTGAGCAGAAGATTGTAGCAGAGTTGATATTTTTCTTACAATTACTACTATGTAACATTTAATGTTAGTGCATAAACATACATTCAGGAGGACACGTGCTTGGTGGTATGCAACACAGCTGTAAATATACATTATGCACACTCAGGATTCATATTGTCTGCAGCAGTGTTGTTCCATACACAGGCACTTGAAGGCCACACTATTCCATATACACCATTACAGCCAAAGGACACTAATTGTGGTCCAATCCTGTAGTCCTTGGGTCATGAAACTTCCACTGACATATACAAGTGTTGCATCTGCAATATCATACTTGCTTTAAAATCATTTATTAAAAAAAAATCCCTTCACTCTAGTTCTAATATCAGATAGCAAATTATATTTAAAAATGTATTTGCATTTCACTAATGAATGAATTAGATTTACGTCCCTCTTGTTTATAGTCCCTTTCTAGTTAGGAAAATAGGGATTGCCAGACTGGATAAGTGGCTCATTTAGTGCAGTTTGCTGTTTCCAAGAGCGATCAGCACCAGATGCTTTAGAAGAAGATGCAAAAAAATCTGTAGTGGACAGTCATGGAATAACCTGTCCCTAGGTACAGTTTCTTCCTAATCCCCTTAATTAGAAGGTGGTTTATGGAAATTCTCTTAAATTTTGGAAAACTTTTTTTCAAATAATTT